ATTTAAATAAAAGGTATGTCTTAAATTATCATTTAAAAATATGAAATAAAACCAATATAAATGATATYCCTGAAGCTTTGAAGAGTATTCCACGWATTCTGAGTGGTACTGTGAGTAGCATTGGCCAGTTAGTTAAGAGGAGCCGACGGGTTCCTGGGAGAAATATATCTGTTCTTATGTCCCAGTCAGCTGTAAGTCACAACTGGTTGCCAGCGAGAAATTCAGGAAAAAAGAACTCTCCAGACAAGGTGTACTTTCTAAGATTTTTGCCGGGAAAATAAAAATTTCCTAACTAAAAAAATATCAGCCGTTTTTGACCATTAAAACGTTATATAAGCCGTTTTTGACCATCAAAACGATATAAAAAGATTGTCAACACTGTAGCTCAAAATCCCTTTCCCAGGAAAAAAATCGTACAAGAACAGTTATTTAGAAGAACAGACCCCGTTGGCTCCTCCTGAGTTAGTCAGTACGACTGCAAGAGATCTTATTGATTGCCTCTGATGGTCGTATCACATGATCAATATTGTCCAATCACGGCTCGAATTACGAGTTTTAATATCATAAAACAGGTGCTAACTATTTACAATTAAGTAAACAAGGGAAAACAMTGCTGCCAAACACTTCTCACTACGAAAYGGCAAGATGTAGGGAATTCCTTGTTTAATCTGCAATCTAGGTAAGTTAAATCAATTAAAAATCGCTCTAGTTTTGTGTTGTTGCATATCAGCCTGTTTGCAAAATACCGCGTATCCTAAAATTTAAAAAAACTTTTAGGATTCGCTTTTTTTATTTAATTAAACACAAACTAATTTTCCGATCTTGCTACTCATGAAATCAGAGATAAACTACTTTTACGCTTTTAAGGCAACTGAAAAATGATCTGAAACCTGGGATATCCCGGCTATCATTCGTCCCCGTAATTCATATAGAATTAGTGCTGAGACCGGATCTAATGAAACAGATACCGCTTGAGTAGGAGTTGATTTGAAATCTTGGCCTATTTTTAAGTATTTTAACATTTTCGTTAAACTAATCGAATAATGAACATTGAAATATTATTTATAGACGTCTRGCTTTAAATAGATAAGAATGTTATCTATAGAGATGATATCTTACAGCTAACAACAAGCGTAACTTGCTACAAAATCGAATAGGCTTAATTCTGAAATAAAAAAGATAATCTAATCAAAAAGAAATTATTTTTTTAATGAAAAAGCTCATGAACAGGTAGAAAAGTTCCGTTAATGAAGGACATTATTGTCGTTYAATGACCGATAATAATTCWAATTCCGAGCTCTTTTACRGTGAAAAATAATGAAGAAAGTTCCTCGGTCGAAAAGTAACAAAAGTAAGTCAGATWAMAACCGCAGTCAACTTGAATTTAAAATAGGATTTTTCTATTGACTAAAGCTATATGTGTTTATGCAAACATTCTAGTTTCAGCTATAATTAAAAGCAACTCTCATTGAGTATGAAAAACCTGAAATACAAGTTGTTAATTTTTAAT